AATTCTATTTAAAGTGTGGATCTTATAGTATAATTGTTTAGTGCATAATATTTACGTTTATACCTATTTCTATATAAATTACTATAATATAATTAATATATGAGTATTTAAAAAAAGTAAATTAAAACAACGCTAAACTTATAGGGACTAAAATAGTGGATTAACCAAAAATATCAAAACACAAACAGAAAATGGAAAATCATAAAAATGGTCCCTAACAGTGACCAAAACGCAAAAACACGGTAAAATTAAATGTATTTATGATGTAATTAGACCATTAATATAGTCTATATATACCACTTTTAAGTTTTTTTGTCATTTCTCACAAAAACCCAAATAAAATGGGGAGGGTTCTCTCAACTCTCTCCATCTTTTTCTATTTCATTTTTTTCTTTGTGGAATAAACGATCGATGGCCATGAACCACTATAACCACCACTGCAAACCGCCCCGGTCAGCACTCTTCTAAGGTAAGAATCTTCTCACTCGCTTTCCCTTGTCTTATTTTATATGCAAAGCTCATATATATATATATATATATATATATATATATATATATATATATATTAGATTCAAAACCGAAAAAATACTAGAAATACCTTGGAATAATATGATTTTTATTGCTTTCCTCTCCTCATCTAAATTATTTTAGTATTTTCTCGTAATAGCATAGAGTAAAAAAAATCAGTATTTGAATACGAAAAAAATACCCTTTAATCAGCTTGTTTATTTCTCTAAAATCTCTGAGAGAAAAAATCATCCCCTTTTGATTACATGCGTTTGGCTTTTATAGCTAAATTTACAATGATTTTCAGTTGGTTATGCCTTGATTCTTGCAGGGAAAAAGGGATGACGGGGTTGGTGTTGAAAAAAATATGATGGTAGGTGTTGGTATTGAAAAAAATGGAACGGTAGATGTTGGTGTTGAAAAATGGTGTTTACAGCTGCCCCTCTTTGCTCATTGTTGTGAAACGAGAATGGAGCAAAGACAATAAAGCACCATTTTTTATCTTGGTCTCTTCTTGTCGCGCTGCAAACTCTTCACTGGGAATGTCAAATCTTCTCTTTCTACGAAATTCATCGGGTCCTTACTGCAAATGATGTCATCTTTGCTTCGTTCTCTTAGTTGAGTCTTCATCTACAGTTCTTCTGATTCGGGGTTCTTCTCATCCTAGTCTTTCCACTGGAAATGATGAACTGTGCGCCATCCCCGATATCACATCTCCATCCACCGGAAGCCCCAGGTGCATGGAAATATCCTCAAGTGTAATCGTGCAATCTCCGCACGGAAAATGGAATGTGTGGGCCTCCGGCCTCCACCGCTACACTAAGGTAGAAATAAGGTCTGGTTCTATCTTACAGTGACCCTCATATCTACCTATGTGACCGAATGCAGCCTCTACTAAATACGACAAGACACAACCTAGGTATCACTAACTTAAGGTTCCTAATAAAAGGATATAATACACGGTCCCTCTCCTAAAATTAAATAATTATAAAAATTAATTTTTAAACTAATAATCATGCATTAAATAAAAAATAAATTATTACTAATAACTTAAATTATATTAAAACGTTAAAATGTTATCGTATCAGAAAAATGTCGCGATATATGATTTCCATCCAAGAGAAGTAGACCTTCTTCCATTTTATATCTGCAAAAAAAATTAATTAAATAAAATATTTAAAAATTCAAAAACTTAAATAAATTAAAAGAATAAAATATTAAATATAATAAAATATACCTTAAACAGTTAAAATAGAATATAAGAGTTTTTTAGAGAAGTTGAGAGGATTTGGTGTGATGAAAGTGATTGAGAATGGGGGTATTTAAAGGGAGGGGGTGGGGTATGAACGGCCGGGGTAGGTGGATAATTAAACCTAAGGCGCGCCGCAGGGGGTGCGCCTTTGTGACACGTCTCAGATTCAAAGGGAAAGCGCGGCCCTGTCTATGCGTTATACCCACATGACACCAGATCAGCCTAAAGTGCGCTTCAGGGGGCGCACCTTACACCACGTGGCGCCATATCAACATAAAGCGCACTGCAGGGGGGTGCGCCTTACTGCAAAGGGTGTTAGATCGGGAAAAATAGTCTGAACGGTGCCTGATCGGGAATATTATAGGGTATAGGTGATATATCGGGAAAAATTTTGTCAATGATGTGACTCGATCTGAACGAGATCCAACCTGAATTCCATCCGAACCTGAATTAACTTGGAATTTAACTAATTTTGACATGAACCGTTTTTACCTAAACTGACATCAATCCGAACTGAAATTAACCCAATCCGAACCTGAACTGAATCTGATGGTAAAATCAATATGAAAATGATCTGAACTGATTTGATATGAATTTGATCTGATCTGAGTCAAACTATCAAATTTACCTAACACACATAGTTGGTTTGATCTGACTTGACATGACCCGACTGAAACTTAAACGATTAACTGATTTTACATCCCTAGGAATGACTACTCACAACAAAAAAATCATGGATTGACTACTCAAATATTAAATAATTGCTAAAAATAGATTTGTTATTTCTCTCACAACAGAAAATGAAAAATCATCTCTACTTTAAATGTGCTTTCTTTCTTTTATCGGTATAATAAATTTATTAGGAAATAAACTTAGTTATATGCCTCGTTAAACCCCAAACCTAGATAGGGAAAAGATTACACATAAAACCAAGAAAATAAAACCACTGCAAAAGACTCTAACCTGACAAAACCACAACAGAAACCATAAACGAAAACTAAATACAACTTAAAGCAGCCCAAAGTACCACACCACCAGTAGCTGATCAAGGCTTAAAATCGAGAACTCCCCAAACCCAGACCACTTCCACAAATCACAAACCATACAGGGAACTACCACCAGACTTTGAACAGTTCGGTTCTCCCCAAACCAAAGAAAGCCAAGTAGTCGGCCATCGAGGAGAAAAACAAGGAAGAAAATTTGAACATCCCTTCACACTGCTTCGCCTTCAAGTTAATTTAGCTCAATAAAGCCCAAAATCGAACAGGACGGGACTGAGGATTAGACAACCAATACAAAACAATTCGGGAGCACGATTCCAGCACCATTGGGGTTATACCTTGGAGCTTTTCTTCCAGCAACACATCTAAAGCCACTTCAATTGCATAAATTTTAGATCCAGACGAACAATTAACCGGGGAAGGACCATAGAATAATGCCCTAAAGGTTCCACAGGGTGATCGAATGATAGCCACCCCACCCACCCCACCCTGCCTTAGCAACACCTGAAACACGAATCTACCAACCAGTTGAGGACATCAATGGCCTAACCTGATTAGAGATACTAGTTTCTGAAAGACACACCCGGGACTACCTTAGGGTGATCAAAGGATACCGCCACACCCACCCCACCCTCCACTTTAAATGTGCTTTCACAAGAGCTATATGGCAAAAAATGTTGCAGATGTGTGCTCGGAATCAAGAATTGTGTTGGACAAGTACTAAGTTAAAGGGGGAAGAACTCATTTCAATCATTTTATGTTTAACTTGATCAACTTGTATACATAAGATTGGGATAGAAAGAAATCAGAGACTATTTGGGGGTGAGCAACAAATTGTAGTGCTTAGTTTAGGAGATAAATCTAACAGTACAGTTTCATTAATTTTGTACAATTTTATATCAACATATGATTATGTATAATTGGTTGTTTTAATGGTATAATTCTTAAAAGTATAAATAAAATATATGTACTATATATTGTACATTCATTTATAATATTTTATATAAATCTTTATTGAACTAATTACCTCCCCTTACCCCATTACATATGGGAACAAGGGATAACCATTTATTGAACTAATTACATTAGTATAAGTAAATGTCGATAAAATATATTTGGAAATTAACTTTTTATCATGGTAAATAAGTATTGATAATTTATTCAATAAATAAAGTTTTCAAAAATTGTTTTTAAAAAACTGTCAAACAATCGAAAATTATTCACAATATTATCCAGACACCAAAACATGATTTCTTGAAATTATTTTCCACTGCTATTAGATTAACACTAAAATCTTCCAAGAAGCTCAATGGATTGGAAAGACGATCCTTATAGTGGAGGTCGATTCGCAGGTGGTATTAAATTGGATTTCAACCTCTTTGGTAAGTTCATGGCGTTGGTGGATTATTTTTATTGAAATAGATGGTTTGATCGTTCAATTGAATGAGTGAAATTTTTTATGCGCCTAGAAGCAAAAATGGATTGGCGGATTTTGTAATCAAAGAAGGGTTGGGAAGGTGTGAGCTTTTTAAAGCATAGTGGTAAGGGATTTTCATAAGCGTAAGTCGGGTTTGTACTTGCGATATGCTGAAATTTTAATTGTATTGTCCAATCACTTTTATAGGTGATAGTTCGTAAAATCAGCTATCGAGATGTATCTTTTTACCAAGTTGTATAGAGATGTTTTTAATGAGACACACAACTTAAGTCTTAGGATTATTTTTTCAAATCTTTAATAAAATAAATTTGCCGAGCAAAAAAATATATAATTCATTTTCTAGAATTCATTTTTTATAAAACAATGGACCCTTAATACATAGACAATTATTGACAAATGAGAAATTTAATGACATGTTAATGCTAACCTAATGTATGTTGCATTTAAGAACCCAAAATGAAGGGTTGTCCGGGCTAAATCTTCACTTCCCATTTTACATGCTTCCACTACAGCACATGGACAATTGCATGCGTGATCTTGGAGTCATGTCTGTCTACATTCCATGGTTTTGCATGACCATTTTTATCTTGAAAATATATTTTATCTTATTTATAAAATTTAGAAAAAAATATTGAGTTAAAAATAACATATTGTAGTTATTATTTAAATGGATCTAATTTGAGATTACTTTGAAATTCAACACTTGTGAGTTTTGTCCACTTTTCTCGTCATTTGCTTCTAATACTAATCTATATAAAAGCCTCATGTTGCTTTGGTTTCATCACATCGAATAAAACCTCTCTTATCTGTCAATCGTTCACTTTACAAAACAATATTCAAAATGGCAAGGCTCACTCCATCAATTTCAATTGCTTTCCTTCTTCTATTGGTTCTTCTAACAATAGGTTTTTTCTGTCACCCCTTTTGAATTAGTTACACAATTTGTTATACATTTAAGTTATTGATAAAATATTAGTATTAAATATATTCAACGTAAGATTTGAGTATATATTTATTATTCATATTTAACATTCTTTTCTTTAGAATAACATATCATAGGTTTTCATTTAATATGAAGTCAATATCTACATATGTATATACTTACATACATACTTATATTTTGTCTGATTTTTTCGTATGATTTTGTATTAAAATAGAGATGACCCCTATGAAAGTGGAGGGTAAACATTGTGAAAGTCCAAGCACTAAGTTCAAAGGTATTTGCGCGAGTAACACTAATTGTCAGACCGTGTGCGAGTCAGAAGGTTTCACAGATGGAGAATGTGAAGGTTTTCGTCGTCGGTGCATTTGCAATAAGCCTTGTTGAGTAATTCATTATACAAGAGGACTAACCGCTTAGATTTATATGGTATATGTTTAAGAAATACATAATTGAGAGATTCTAATATCCTCAATATATTTTTGCACTAAGTATTGTTATTATTACTACTACTTTTGAATAAGACTTTGTGATATTTACGTTGTATATAAACTAGAATTTCATAATTCTTTTCAATTGAGTATCTAGAAATCATTATCAATTATTAAGACACAGCTAAAATTATTTATGAATTCGATGTGATTTGATGAAAATGAAGTATTAAAAAGATTTTCTGATTAGTGTTTCGTTAGAAGAATACCTATCTTATTAAGTAAAAAATTGAAAATTGATGAAATTAAATTTTAAAGGGTTAGGATGTGGTTTAATGCAAAAGGTAGAGAGAATGAATAAGGTAGGCTGTGAGTGAATAAAAAAGTCATAAAAATTAGATATTAGTTTTTTAAATGAGTGATTCTAATTCTTCTATATTTTGTTCAAAAAATACTAGATTATTTTCAAGTAATAAAATTGTGATGAAATAAACTCATGTAAATGTGACTATAAGGAATTATCAAAATTTGAATAATAACTTACATATTACATTATGTCATATTTGTATTTATACTGAAATTGAGAATCAATATTGTTTTAAAAATATTAGATATTAGTTTTTGCTCGAACAATAATTTTTATTGAATAAGAAGGTTAAATCTTGTTATGAGCCTCATTCAAAAACTTCTCTAAACCTAGAAGGATGAAAAAGTGCTGCATAACAAAGGTGATGGTACAACTAAGAAGCAAGCTGATGAAGAGAAAGGCATGCGATACAAACATACAACAAAAAATTAACCCAAAAATGAACAAAAATATTACGATAAAAATAACATGGATATGTTCAAGTGGAAGTCATTGAAAGATTGTATTGAGTTCTCCCATATTTATGCAAAAGTTAAAATTGACCCAATAATTTTAATATATGAACAAATTACTGGGGAATGAGAATTCCATTTTTATCCTTTATAATCAAATATAATTTTTTAAAATTATGGGTAAACTATATCTGTGACCACCCAACTATATCCCCTTTTTATTTTGACCACCATTTTTTGAATTCTTGTCAATCAGGTTATCCAACTATTTAAATGCATTCAATCAAACCACTAGTCGCTAATGGAAGCGATGACATGGCTATTAGTAAAATTGGTATAATTACATATTTGGTCATCAATATTTATTCATTCTATCAATTTAGTCCTAATGTAATTAAATTCAATAAATTTAATCCTCCAATCATATGAGGACATGTGTCATCATTTGATTGGAGTTTTTTTTATAATTTTAATTTATTTAATATAAAATTCTTTTCATCCATCTGATTAAAGGAAAAATAACTCTAAAAGAAATGAGAGAGGTAAAAGAAACCCTAAACCATATAGTTAAAGGAAAAATAACTCTAAAAAAAATGAGAGGAGATGGATTCAATCCCTTGTCTAGGCGCCCAAAGAAGGAGACACAAGCAAAGGCATTAAGCTATGCTTTTTTTTTTTGTGATTTATTTTGCATAACATTATATAAAACCTATTGTGGCTACTGCTAAAAGAAAGAAAATTGCTTATTTATGGACTTAAATCTAAGTTAACTATATGATTAGGGATCTCTAATATCAAACTAATACAAAATTAAATATAAAACAATTAAATTTTTAAATATAATATATAAACATCTTTAAATTTTAACCGTTTAGGTTAACCTATTCATCATTATTTTTTAAAATTATTTTTAAAATTATAAACAATATTAAATGATAATATTTAAAAACTATGTTTCATACACGTTTCTTTAACTCAAAACTAAAAGTTAAAATTTTTAAAATTTTGAGTTTAAATTTTTTTTTATTAGGGTCACAATTCTATTTAAAGTGTGGATCTTATGGTATAATTGTTTAGTGCATAATATTTACGTTTATACCTATTTCTATATACATTACTATAATATAATTAATATATGAGTATTAAAAAAACTAAATTAAAACAATGCTAAACTTATAGGGACTAAAATAGTGGATTAACCAAAAATATCAAAACACAAACAGAAAATGGAAAATCACGAAAAGGTCCCTAATAGTGACCAAAACACAAAAACACAGTAAAATTAAAGGTATTTATGATGTAATTAGACCATGAATATAGTCTATATATGCCACTTTTAAGTTTTTTTTGTGTCATTTCTCACAAAAACCCAAAAAAAAATGGGGAGGGTTCTCTGAACTCTCTCCTTCTTTTTCTATTTCTTTTTTTTTCTTTGTGAAATAAACGATCGATGGCCATGAACCACTATAACCACCACTGCAAACCGCCCCGATCGGCACTCTTCTATGGTAAGAATCTTCTCACTCGCTTTTCCTTGTCTTATTTTATATGCAAAGCTCAAAATATATATATATATATTAGATTCGAAACCGAAAAAAATACTAGATAAAACCTTGGAATAATCTGATTTTTATTGCTTTCCTCTCCTCATCTAAATTATTTTAGTATTTTCTCGTAATAGCATAGAGTAAAAAAAATCAGTATTTGAATACGAAAAAAAATTACCCTTTAATCTGCTTGTTTATTTCTCTAAGATCTCTGAGAGAAAAAATCCTCTCCTTTTGATTACATGCGTTTGGGCTTTATAGCTAAATTTACAATGATTTTCAGTTGATTATGCCTTGATTCTCGCAGAGAACAAGGGATGACGGGGTTGGTGTTGAAAAAAATATGATGATAGGTGTTGGTGTTGAAAAAAATGAAACGGTAGATGTTGGTCTTGAAAAATGATGTTTATAACATTCAATCCCAAACTGTTAAAATCCTCATCAACTAATATAAAATAAAAAAGATTCCTAATTTAAAGCTCCCTGGACGAGCAGAAACCACCTTACCTTATTGCTGTTTCAGACAATCATATCATCAAGTACAGTTTTTTTATCCCTGAAGAATTGGGCCCAACCTTCTCGTCCAATTTCAGCATTTTTCTTGCCTTTCGAGAGTGTTAATATTTTTATTGAAAAAAAAATAGTATATTAATGTTAAAAACAAGAAATAATACATTTATCGAAGCCATGCATGCAATTTGGCCGTTCAAAATAATACAAAAGTAAGGGGATTTGAGCGACCTCAATTCTAAAAGAATTATTGTTTTTTTTTGAGGTCCCAACTTAAAGTATCAGAAATGTCAAGGGTTGAGTGTTTAATGTCAGATGATTGAGAATTATCTTTGAACATATGTTGCTTTGTACTTACTCGAGATTGACCATTTAAAATTAAAACAGAAAAATTGGGTAAAATAGCAGAGGTGCGTGACGATCAGTTTTAGGGCGATGGTTAGTTTGGAGACATTTGGTGAACAGAAATACTGGTTTCCTCTTGATATAACTCTCCAAAGATAGTGATTGTTGAATAAACCAGTTTTTCAGTGATGCACGATGGTTATCGGTGGTCAGTTGATTACGGTTCAATACTCTATAGCCGTATTGTGAGTGTTGTAGTTTATCTCTTGCTCTTTTTGTATAGTTCGATGTTTGGTATTCTAAATTTGGCCCTTTTAAAGATAACGAAAGACTTGAAAAGATACCATACCATGATTGCGCATATCTCAGTTTCTGCCAACTTTCTTTCATCATTATTAGTAATTTTTAATATATGAACAACTATTGGGGAATGAGAATTCCACTCTTATCCTTATTAAGAAAAATATAAAAATTATTATATTTTAAAACTATAATGACATAGGGAATTCAAGTTGTTTTTGTTTCATCTAAAACCTTTTCTAAAAACTGTTTTACTGTTTGTTTAATAAAAAATATTTTGGTCAATTTAAATCATTTTATAGTCAACATAATGTAAAAATAAAAATTTCGTGTTTTGTATAAAATGAATTACCGAATAAAATCTTGTAATTCATTTTCCGAGATTTCACCGACTATTTTCCCGGTATATCACCGGTGATCGATATTATTACTGATCTAACACCGGTCAGACTATATTTCTCGATCTAACACCCTTAGCAGAAAAGCGCGTCTCTTGCACCGCGCTATATGCTGATTTGGCACCATGTGGGTATAGCGCGCCTCCTGCCCCGCGATATACGGTGATCTGACGCCACGTGGGTATAGCGTTCGAACAATGATGATGTTCAAATGATTGTTGAAGCTCAAAGTAATTATTCAGACACCGCTATTAAGATGTATGCACATTTTGTTCAAGTGCGTGCTGTTCGGGGTCAATCTTTAAGCTCACACTATGGGCTGGCTGAACAAGTTGATCAAGTTGACAGCCCGACTACAATAATGTGTAATGATTTTAATGCCATAATGGGGAGACATTTCATCCGCAACTCCTTACGATATGTACCGAGGTGGGTCCACGAACAATCCGTATGGCAACACCGCGTCCAGTTCAAGGGGAAGACATTCATCTGCAAATTTCTTTGACCATATGGAGATGTCATCGACGCAACCATCTGTGCAGTTTCTATTTGACACGATGGCTTCAAGCTCCAGGGGGAGGCATTCGACTGCGAGCTTTTTCGATCTCAATGTCGATATGCCTTCCAGTTCAAGGGGAAGGCGTGCTAGTAGTAGGTTCTTCGACCTAAATGTGGAGAGCATGGAGAAACCCATCATCTCCACCAGAAGAACCGCTTCGTGAGCCTGGTGCGGATGGTGCTGAGACTGGACTATTCATTCACCTAGAATCACCGCAATTCAACTCCGATGATGATGAAGTTCCAGGAAATGTGGCACAAACTGACCCTCCTGCACACATGTATGAAGCTGATTATGGTGCAATGTACGGGCCAGAATTTGCGGATATGCCTCATCTCGGTGACTATGGATATTACTCATCAATAAATAATGGTGAGTTATCTTTAGGCATGGAGTTTTCAAGCAAAGAAGAAGCGATGGTGGCTATAAAAAATTACAATATCCGTAATTCTGTTCAGTCCAGAGTCAACCGATCGACGACCGAAAAATAGACCCATAATAGCCTCCAGGAGGGGTCATCTGT